TCACACAAATACTTTAAATAGTCTTGGCATTGGTCTAAAAATGAGGAAAGATGTCAATAGCCCTTATGCTAGGTTCTAAGCGTTGATATAAACTATTGTCATTGCTATGATGTTTGAGTATGTTTTGGAATTGTGTTACTTGTCGATGTGCTTAATTTTAAGTTGCTCTAGGACGAGCAAGAGTTTAAGTGTGGTGTGGTGATAAATGACTAAAAATGCATATTTTTAGTATAGTTTCATATAATTTTGTGTATGAGTTGCGGGAGATTACATATTTATAAACATAAAATATGCTCATTACATGTTTATTGTGTGTAGGAATGCGTTTGGATTGAAGTTGGCAAAAATCGGATGATTTAATGCAAAAAGAAGTTGAGAGGCAAGAGCTGGGAGCGTGCCACAATTGGTGCATTACATGAAAGTTAGGCGCGAAATGGCCTAGGAAATGGATCAAAACCAGTGAAGTATGGCACTAGACCTTTCACGTGAAAGAAACAAAGAAGAAAAAAATAGATGGGAGCGTGCCTAGGGGTCGCCCCTTGCACCAACCCCAGCACGTGATTCAACTTTTCTTTTGCAAATTAGGAGAGATCAAGGACGCCCCACATCAACCCTAGTTGATATAAATATAAAATGTCCTTCTGAAGGGAGATACATTACTTTAGGGTTAGATAACACCTAAGGGGGCGAGAACACGCTAGGAGCAAGGAGAAAGATTCAACCACGAGTTTTTCCTTTCTTCTTCCTATCTTTCATTGTGGTTATGATTTTTAGTATTGTAATTTTACAACTATTATGAGTAGCTAATTTATTGTAACGACCCGGCCGATCATTTTGAGTACTATAGCCCATTCCTCTATTTATTGCTTATTCTGTGCTCATTTATTATTATGTGACTTGCCGGGGTATTTGTTTTGGTTCCGGGGATATTTCAGAATGATTTGGGACACTCAATCCCAAGGTTGGAATCCTAAGTTGAAAGAGTTGACCGGATATTGACTTATTTGTGGATGACTCCAAAATAGAGTTTTGATGGTTCCGATAACTCCGTATGGTGATTTTGGACTTAGGAGTGTGTCCGAATATTGATTTGGAGGTCCGTCGATGATTTTGGCTTGAATTGGCGAAAGTTGGAAAAGTTAAAATTTGGAGAGTTGAGAAGTTTGACCGAGAGTTGACTTTATGGTTATCAGCCTCAGATTTTGGTTTCGAAAGTTGGAATAGGTCCATTGTATCATTTATAACTTGTGTACAAAATTTGATGTCGATCGGAGTTGGTTTGGTATGTTTAGGCAATAATTTTGGAAGTTAGAAGCTCATAAGTTCATTAGGCTTGAATCGATATGCGATTCATGGTTTTAGTGTTGTTTGATGTGATTTGAGGCTCCGAGCGATTTCGTATGATATTTTAGGACTTTTTGGTATGTTTGGTTGAGGTCCCGGGGGCCTCGGGTAGATTTCGGATGGTTAACAGATTGAAATTGGACTTAGAAGATTTGCTGAAGTTGCTGATGCCTGTGCTTCTAGTTTCCTTATATGCAATCACATGTGGAAGTCCGCGATCGTGAAGAGTTATTTTGGCAACTGGTGAAAACTTTTCTATGCGATCACGCGAATTGGTATGCGATCACGGAGCTATGGTCAGTAGTACTACGCGAACGCGAGGGTTGTACCGCATTCGCGAAGAAGGAAGGAGGGGTGGCTTGAAGCCACACATTTGTTCATCGCGATCGCGTACATATGAGTTTCTGTGCACCGCGTTCGTGGTTGTTTATTCACATTTGTGAAGAGTAATTTGCGAGGGACTTTCCGTGATCGCAAAGAGGAGCATCTGGGCAGAATATAAATTTCAAAAATGAGGGTTAGAATATTATTTTACATTTGGACTTTGGGAACTCGGATTCAGGCGATTCTTGGGGCGATTTTCAAGGAATTAATTGGGGTAAGTGATTCTAACTCGAATTTAGTTAATATATATCACACTTCTTTTTACCCACACAACCCTATTACGAGGTTGATGTCACGACCCAACTGGAGGGTCATGACTAGCACCCGGGCCATACTTGCCGAGCACCAACGTACATTTTATCTAACCTTCCTTATTATCTTTAAGGGCCAACAAGATCAATATAAATAGTAGACATGGATCATGAACATCCAACAATGAAAGATAATGTCATGAACATACATAACATGGGACGACAAGACTGTCAAGAAACTATATATAAGGTACGAGCTACCATGATGCCATGAAAGACTATACAACAAAAATCAGCCGACAAGGCATTCTAAACCATACATAAGTCGACACCTGTCTATGAGCCTCTAAAGGAACATAAGTGCTACAACATTGCCGGAACAGGGCCCCGACATACCCATAATGTCTATAACAAAAATGCATACCAAGACCACGGCAAGTCCGGAGAAGGGATCTCGCCAATAACCGCTGAACTGGACAGCCTACTGTGGTGGGGGAGCTACGTCTACCTGTCTATCAGGACCTGCAGCACGACATGCAGCGTCCACAAATAAAAAGGACGTCAGTACGAATAAAGTACTGAGTATGTGAGGCAAGAAAGCATAAGTAAGAACAGTAATGTAAACAGGGATAGAGAATATACAACCTGTGACATCTGGGTACCTCTGAGGGCTACTGACATGAAATACATGATACATACATATATATACATAAACTTTTAAAACATACGCCTTTGTGGGCATCACCATCATCATATCGTACCCGGCCATAATAGGCTCGGTAAAACGTACCCGGCCATCATAGGGCTCGGTAGAATCGTACCCGGCCACGTGGAGCTCGGTAAAACCCAACTGATCAGTGGTTGCACAATAGGTGCCATACCCGGCCGACTATAGCGCGGCTCGGTAGAGTAAAATAGATACATATATATGATGCATGCTGGACTCATTGGAATCACATTTTGAACCTTTCGGAGTGACGTAAGGTCGGTATCCTTCGTACACGTTATTAGGATTAACTCTTCATCAAGAATCTTATAAGAATCAGGAACTACCAACAACATTGATAATATAAGAATAAGAGAAGTAACATCAATATCAATCGTTTCATAAGAAGGGCAGCAATGTAAGTACTGCTAGCTTCTAAGAGTAGAGTATCTTTGGGAGCTCGTTCATTACATTATGTACAATCGGAGTCGTGCAAAAGAATGAAGGGGATAGCCTCACATACCTTGTATATACTGCCCAACCTCAAGCTATGCAAATGTCACGACTCCTTAGTCTACAATAAGAGAAATGACACTATCATTATCGTTTAAGCGTCGTAACTATTATGTATCGACCGCAACCTATTTTACGATGAAACGGACAGCACCTCCCCTATTTATATGACTTCCCACAAGTCAATACAATCACCAAACAGCCCAAACAACATCATTAATAATCATATTGAGCCTCCAAAACAGTCCACCAACCAACAACATTACTACCAAGCCTTTCGATATATATTTCACAAGTTCTAGCTTCAACGACTTAGCTGCAACTTGGATAATCTTAAATATATATAGAGTAAGAGGTTCCTTACCTTTAAACAGAAAGAACAACTCCAATTTGACCTTAATTTTCCACGAAATATCCCTTCAATTCTGCCACAAGAACAAGGAAGCGAAACTAGCAATTAATTCGGGTTTTTCGGCACTAGAATTACTTTAGAAGACTTGAAATCACCTAGGGTTGATATTAAAAACTTGAAGGTGTATTTACAGAACATAAAACACTTAAAACAACCTCCCACACGAGCTGGAACAACACAAAAATCAGCAACAACAAGAAGAACAAGAAACTTACTAGCGCCACGGGATTCCTGACATTTGATTTGTGTTGTTTGCCCTTTGTTTGGTTCTTGGATCATGAGAGAACCTTGGGAGACTGATTTTAGGGTTATAAGGTCTGAATATACTGAAAAATAATGACTTAAAACGGGGTTGAGGTATCTTATATATGTCCATATGTCTTAAACCGCCTTTGTGGGCCCCATAGAGAGCAGCTTGGCGCACTCTCGCGAAAACGCGAATATCTCTCTATTCCGAGATCGTATCGACGAACGGTTTAATGCGTTGGAAACTAGACTCATAGATCTTCAATTTGATAGGTAGATCACCCCATAATTCCAAGCACATTGGGAGTAAAATGCAGTAACATTTGACCTAAAGTTTAAGTAAAATTATAAACCTAAGTTGCGACAACTTTTATCGACTTTTGTTTCATAACTCGCTTGACTTCAAGACTTATGATGCGGATATTATATGATTCAAATACATTAAAACAAGACCTCTTGGGACAGTTAATCACCTCTAGTGTTACCCGAAAATACGGGTTACAACATCCTTGATTCGTTTAACTTCTAATATTTGTTAACCACTCTTATACACCCTTGTATCGTTTAAGACCAGTAGGATTAACTTCTTATCATCTCAAAGATAATCTCTTCTTGGATTTACGTCGACTAACTTACGATGTGATCTATGGTATGCGAATTTGGGTTGTAACAATCAGGTTCCTTATCTGGTTCTTATCACTAAGTTTGTTAGACTATCAAAACATAACAAAGTACATATAGCCTATCAATTTCCCCTTTTTGATGATGACAAACTTATAATTGAAGTTCCCCCTAAGAACTAGAATGACATACACACATATCGTATATTCTTCCTGAATCTGTTCCCCCACAATTATTTTCCCCCTTTTGGCATCATAAAAAGATCAGTAGCAAGCAATAAGCATAAAGAAGTCTAGCTTGCTTAACTCATGTCATATGTGTGTACACAATCATGACTAAAAACAGAGCAAATGAGCAAGGCATATACAGCAAAAAGTTGAAACTTCTATTGATTTTTAGAAATATAGCAGGGAGCAGTTCCATTGTTACCAACACATCCACAAAATAAAAAGAGCAAAAATAGAAGTACCAGTCATAAACATCATCAAAACTAAAACAAAGGACAAACACTAGGATTTGATACTGGAAAGGGCACACTCTCTAGGGAGCACTGGAAGGGGAAGGCTTAGAGGAAGAGGCAAGGGTTTTGAGGAGTTTGTGGACATCTGCTCATTGAGCATTTTCTCCTTCAGGTCCTCAACCTGTTTCTTGAGATCGACATTCTCCTTGGTCTGACGGGCAACCTTTGTGCTTTGAGAGCTACTAGAGCCAGGTGCCTCCTGAAGCTGATTTAGCTGACCCTCAAGAATGGCATTCCTTGCCTTCAGCTTCCTGATTTCATCAGTGGCGCTGTTTTGGGCATTGATCAACTGGGAGATAGTAGAAGTGCTGCCAACCCCTCCAACTTTATCAATACACTCACACTCCTCCAGAGTGGTCTTGGAGAAGGTTTGCTTACGAGTACCCACCTTAGATTTTCTCAAAGGGACTTTGAAGAACTCAAACACCTTGGTGAGAAGGAACCCATAAGGCAGACCATGATTACCATCCTTAAACTCTGCCACCTTTTGCATATGTTCTATCATAATGCCAGGCAGGTCTGCTCGATATGTAATTGACCTTCTTTCAGTACGAGGGAGCAAAACCTTGTTTACCATCTCAAACAACAAATTTTACACTAGAAGGAGGGCCTTCTTGTGTACCCATTCCCCCTGCTCAACAAAAAGTACAAAGGTGCAAAAACAAAGAAAAATTTACTAGTCACTTAAATGGCTTGGTCTTCGCCAGAGCCCGCCTCATCATCGGGACCATCAGAGTCTTCTTCGCCCCCGGATCCTTCCAAACCCTTGGAGTCTTCTTCATCCTCGGGATACGCCAACTTCTTGGCCTCGATCCCCTTAGCATTTTTGACCTCGGCCGATAAATCAAAACCCCTAGCGTGAACTTTCTCGCGGGCCTTCCTTCGGAACTGTCACTTCACGTATTCAAAAATGTCTTACAGGCGGTCCTGGGCTGCCTCGGCATCGTCTTTATACTAGGCCACCATCTCATCGGCATCGGCTTTGGTTACTTCAACCACCGACTTGGCCGCTTTAAGCTCTTTGGCAAGGGTCTCTCGATCGGCAACAACCAAGCTTAACTGAGACCGGAGCTCCTCAATTTTTTGGGACCGTGCCTCAGCCTTCTCCCTCGTCGCTCGAAGTTGGGCCTCCACCGAGGTCAATTGCGCCCAGGAAGTGTCACGACCCAACTGGAGGGTCATGACTAGCACCCGGGCCATACTTGCCGAGCACCAACGTACATTTTATCTAACCTTCCTTATTATCTTTAAGGGCCGACAAGATCAATATAAATAGTAGACATGGATCATGAACATCCAACAATGAAAGATAATGTCATGAACATACATAACATGGGACGACAAGACTGTCAAGAAACTATATATAAGGTACGAGCTATCATGATGCCATGAAAGACTATACAACAAAAATCAGCCGAAAAGGCATTCTAAACCATACATAAGTC